TACTAGGAGAGGACTTTCTAAATTGGACATCAATTGCTCAGGAATTAAGATAAAGAATCAACAAGTGGTACCTCATTAAACTAAAAGGCTTCTGTACAGCAAAGAAGCAAGCAAGGAAGTGAAGAGAAAACCCACAGAGTGGGAGAAAATCTCTACCAGCTACACATCTGACAGAGGTTTAACATCCAGAATGTACTAAGGAGCTGAACAGAAAGTTCTCAAAAGAAGAAGTAAAGATGGCTACGAAGCATCTTAAAAGATGTTCAACATCACTAATAATAAAGGAAATGCACATTAAAACCACTTTAAGATTTCATCTTACCCCAGTCAGACTGGCTAAGTTCAAGAGAACAAATGATACCAAATGTTGGAGAGGATGTGGGGAAAGGGGAACGTTCATCCACTGCTGGTGGGCCTGCATACTTGTTCAACCCCTTTGGAAAGCAGTGTGGAGAACTCTTAAAAAACTGCAAATGAACCTACCATCTGACCCAGTTATACTGCTCCTTGGCATATACCCAAAGAACACATCTTGTTGCAGACACCTGTACATCCATGGTTGTTGTTGCTCTTTTCTCAATAGCGAAGAGGTGGAAGCAACCTAAATGTCTCTCAACTGACGAGTGGATAATGAAAATGTGGTTCATTTATACGATGGAGTTTTCCTTAGCAGTAAAGAAAGATGAAATCATGAAATTTGCAGGTAAATGGATGGAACTAGAAACTGTTATACTAAGTGAAGTAACACAGACTCAGAAAAACAAACGACATATGTTCTCCCTCATATGTGGATCCTAGCACCAAATCCTTGTGAGTATGTATCCAGACATAACTACAGGAACCAGGATAATGAAAAGGAACCAGGGAGATAAAGGAAAAGAAAGAACCTGAAAGAGAAGAACAGTAGAAAACAGGTGTTACTAAGGAAGATATGGATTAAAATGGGGTTATTTTAACTGGAGGCGGGAGGGAGGGTTATACAAAGAACCTTGGGGATAAAGGGAAATAAGGAGCTCAAGAGAGGTGGGACCATAGAAGAAGGGTACTATTAAGGGAGAAATGGGAAAATGGGGGAACTTTAAATGGGGAAACCATGGTGGAAGGGTTAGACAATGTGAGAGATAAATAATGCCTACCTAGTTTCAAAAAAACCAGAGGGAACCATATTAGTCCAACAACCTACTGACAAATTATACATATAACTAGCTCAAGAAACATAATAAATGTTGAGTCAAGGTTTACCTGAGAACCTTTGGTTTTTTCCCAAGCTTTATCTATATACAGCATGGTAATTAGAAGTACCAGACTGGTGGAACTAACCTTCTTGGATGTTTAACAGATATACTTTAATGCCTACACTAATCTGGTCAGAGGGACTTAAAGGACAGTTTTTGTTCCTTGCCCTCCAAGGTCGACTAAGTTCCAGGGGACTATGGAGCATCTTTTAAAATGTCCTGTAACGGTGGTGAGTCACCTGCCCTCTTGATCAAGAAGGCTGTGGAGACCCCACCAGATGGACTTGAACCAGTGTCCAGTCCACAAAGAGGAGGGTCAACACAGAGGAATCATTTCCTCCATGCATCCAAGTGAAGCCAGCCACGGTTGAGCAGGACCTCTGACTTATCTTCACATAGATGGAACTGGTAAAAGAAAGGAGCCAGGGGCTCCTCCCAAGCCTATGGGACCCCTGAGGAACAGATCCTCATACGATCTTAAGAGTAAAAATAAACTGGTTTATTTGAGCCAACTGTATGGTCTTAAACACCCAAAAGGAACGTATAACCAAAGATTAAAGTGATCAGTATAATTCTTTAAGAGTCCATATGTACAGCTAAAGGTTACATAACAAGAAACAATGCCAGACAGGAGATACCTTCCTTTGAGTTGTTGGCCAGGGTGGCCCAAGAGACTTCCAGACAGTAACCCAGCATAGAACTGGGAGAATGAACAGCAGACCCCAATCTTATCTAAAGGAATATTGGGAACTGATTGCTGCTAGATGGGGAAGAGCTGATCTTCCTAAAACAAGGAACTCTAGATAGGCTGACTACATTCAGTGGATGGACAGGCACTGGAGAATGGCTGGGGGCACCGATAACACAGTGGACAGTAAGTAACAGGGATGACAGAGTATATGGGCTCCAGTGTGTGTTGGGGGGAGGCTATGGGAGGGTGCTATTTGGGATGCGGGTGTATAGATGAATAAGATTGTTTGGGATGTTCTGTATGAAATACATGCAAAAAATATCAATCAATAAAAAATGAGTTATATTTGAGGAAGAAGCATAAAAATTTGCTTCATGTTAATTAGTAGATGTGAAAAACATTACTGTTGTAATCTACCTGATGACTTTATATCCATGCTCAGGTGTCAAGGATCTCAGAAAGTGACTATGACTAGCAATAACCAGATATATAGAGATTTGAGACACATGTGCAAACATCTAAGTGTTAGTTTCATTAAAAATGAGTTTTTCTGTATGATACAGTATATTTTAAAATGAAACGGATATCTTTTTTAAAGGTTAAAACCTCATTCAATTTTATGTCTCCTACGGTTTATACTGAGTACAATACTGTATAACTGTATTAATTCAACCATGAACCTAAAAATTTACAACCAATTTTGAAAGAGATGTATCTTTGCTCGAAATTGTTGTTGACTATGTCAATGCCATTGTAATGAAATGCTTCTACTAATTATGTGGTTATGAAATAAATAAAAAATATTCCAGAATCTTAAAAAAACAATATCCATTGATGGATGATCAAATAAAATGTGGACCATCTGTAAAATAGGAGTATTAGCCTTAAAAAGCAAGGGAAAGCCTATTTGCAGACATTGCCGTAAGTGAAATGAACCTGTCACAAAAGGGATAAAAACTGTCTGGGTCCAGTGACAGAAAGTCCTTAAGCGGACAGGAGATGGGGATGGGCAGAAGGACAGAGAGCTGCTGCTTAATGGGTGCTGCCTTTCTGTTAGAGAAGAGAAAGTTCTGGAGATGAATGGTGGTGACAGTTGCTCAATGAAGTGGATATTGTCAATGCCACTGAAGGTATACCTGAAAAAAGAGTTAAAATGGTTAAATGGTGGGCTTAAAATGTTATGTATATTTTGCTTCAATAGAAAATATTTGTAACATCTAAAGTTTGTAGCTCTTTAACCAAAGGTCAATAGACTTAGACTTAGGGTACTCAGGTGGTCTATTTGTATGTACTTATAAGAATATAACCCCAATTGGTTTTTACAAATGGCCCTGCATGAAAACAAGTGATGCCCAGGAGTTAATTTCTAATATCTTCACAACGTTTTAGAAGCCAACCATGAATAAGGCCAGGAAGAACCATGCTTTCCTCCCCTTCCTCCAAAAAGGCAACTACATGTTCTGGATCAAAGTCACTGCAGTGTTCCCCTTACCTGAACTCCAGCCTCTCTGCAGGTTTCAATGACATTCTTGGTGCCAATGAAATTCACTCTATAAAAGAGTTCCTTGTTGTTGCTGGATGATGGGGGTGATGCACAGTGGAAAACTGTGCTGACACCTTTCAGAGCTGGGTACAGGTCCTGGAAAGGCAAACAATGACAAAAGAATCATTCTGGCTTTCGGGAGGTCAACAGTCTTCTCACATTCTCGCCAATCTGTGACCTGTACATCTTTTGGCTCTTCATAAATTGTACAAGCACCACGGAAACATACTCTCGTAAAAGATTCAAGCTACACAAAAGTGTGATGAAACAAAACCAAACTGTCCTTTAATCACTGCTCCTATTACCCTGTCCTGAATGAAAAGGGGTTTGAACACGAGAGGCCCATGGGATCCAGGCAGAGGCCAAACCCATCTATGTGTTCTGGGAACCTAGGGGTATAAAATTCCTACTTGGAACAAGTTTTGAATCACATGAAAGTCTCATATCATTAAAGATACTGTAACAGGCAATACACGGATGTGAAACCTGACAATGCAGCAACTGAAAACGGACTTTAAAGGAAGTCTGATTAACTTACTGCTAAAAGGAACTGCCTTAGGGAACAAGTGGCTATAGATATGGGGCAGGAAATAAGATGAACCAGGAAGACCTTGTCTTAAGATGTTGAAAAGTAAGGATACTCTCCAAGACTCCAGAGGCAACATGTACTCCCTACTTAACGAAGAGGCACTTTGCTCATCAGTGGGATAAGAGTTACAAGTGGAAGTAGCAAGCAAGGGAAAGAACCAACTGTTTAACTTGCACAAGGACTCAAGATCTGAGGATTAAAGGCAAAGACAACACAATGGTGGCTCACCACCACTGCACCAAATCCTCATGAACTCACAGGTTTTAAGTACGATTCATGGTTGTCATCACTAGAAGAAAAAAGCCCACAAATCATGTGCCTAGATTTTGCCACAATTACATATGTCACTACACACAGACGTCACAGTATTGGGAAAGCATTCGAGTAAGGTGCAGATCTCCTAGGCATAAATATGCTCTCCTGGAAGGCCACAGAACAGTAGGTGTATCCCAAAAGATTGGATATCCTTTCTTAAAAATTAAATTTAATATGATTTTGTGTGTGTATATGGTTGCACATACCGATGAGCATATATGTGTGTATTTTTTATTGTATTTTAGTGATTTTCAAATACAATTCGATAGTGCCCACCTTATATTTTGGGACAAGTTCTCTCACTGAACCTGCTTGCTGTTTAGCCAGGTGACTAGCAAGCTCTCATTTCCTTGGCTTCCATCTCCTAACAGGGGGTTGTAGGTGCATGTGGCTGTGCCTAGGCTTTTATTATATATGGGTCCTGGGGATTTGAACTCAGATCTTGCTTTCACAGTAAGTACCTTTCCTCCCGGGCCATCTTTTCAGCTCCCAGCTATCCTTAAGCAACAATTACTCTGTATTTAAGATTCTGTAACTGTCCCGGCAATAACTTTTACAGCTGTTTTTATTTTGGGGTCTAGGATCTAACTGTGAATCACATATGCATGATCCTTCTCTCTCCAATCTCCTTTAACCTAGAGCAATCTCCTGATTTTCCTTTTCTGTCTTTTGTACCACGGTCATATTTCACAGGGGTAGGGATGGTTATTTTACAGACTGCTGATCAATTTGTGCTTGTCTGTTCACGATTACATTCAGGCTTAATAGTTTGGAAGCATTTCACATTAGTGGTGGTGTGTCGTTCTCAGGGCACTGCTGCTAATGCCAAGGTGCATCATTCAATGAACGTAATGGCTACCAGATTTTTACCATCCAAAAGGCACTTTCCCCCTTTGCAACCATTAAGCAATCTGTGGGATGGTAATTCCACGGACAGATTCCAGCGCTTACTGATGGTCCTGGTCTGTAGCATTCCTCAGTGTACAGCATGCAAATGGCAACATTCTCATTTGAAGGTGCCTAGAGCTGAAATTCCTCTGCCCACCCTAATTTTCTTTTTAGTAACTATGGATGCAGATTTCTCTTCTTTTCTTTTCTTTTTTACACATGTATTTGATGTGATTGTGATTTTGGAGGCAAGTGTAAGAACGCTTGTAACACACTATGTTTTTGAGGCTCAAAATGCCCCAACTTTTGACAGTGGAAGTTCTATTGGTTGTTTCCTCTTTTTGGTTTCACTATGTAGTACTGGGTAGCCTGGAACTCACAATGTAGACCAGGCTAACCTCAAACTCACAGTGATCTGCTTGCCTCTTTCAAGTGCTAGGATTCAAGGAATGTGTTACCACACCTGGTTCCTTTGTCCTTTAGACATATACTCATTAATTTGGTCCCAAGAAAAGCCCTAAGCATGCTTATTACTATTGAGGTTCTGATGATATTGAGGAAAAATAAACTATCAAGTCCAACTGAATGTCTCCTATTCCACAGTGGAGCAGAGGTATGGTGCAGTCACACACCAGCTACTGTCCTCTAATCCAGTTCAGTTCGGACCCTATCTGTTGATACAGTTGAGGTTTCAGTCCCCAGGGCTGACCCCCATTCCGGGTTTGGGTGCCACCAACAGGCACCATGTGCCTTTACCTGAGCTTTTGATGAAAAATGGCTGTAAATTGAGCTTCCCATACCCTCCTTTTTGTCTAAGTGTTGTGGTGGGAATGGAACCTAGAGACTTGCACATGGTAAGTACCCTCAAACCCCCTCCATGGGTTTAATTTGTGCAAGTGGTTCACATACTTTCAGTAAACACGTCCATTAACTTATTATGAAGCATGCAGAGGAAGAGCTGTGGAGGGAGAGGCAGTGAGGGAGTGGTGTGGGGCTTCCACCTTCTCTCTGGGCACACAACCTGCAGCTTCATTACATGAGCATGAAGGAAGCATAGCGAGTGTATAGAAATGTGACCAGACACTAACACAGTAAATGGGGAAACCCAGGAAGGCCTGTCGGGCCAGATTCCTCTTGACTACTCTGTGTGGCCAACCCTTCTGACACTGGGTATGGGAGAGTACATGACTCATCTTTAGAAAGAGAAATTATAGTTTCTATAGCCTGCCTTGGAGAAGGAGCTGTGAGCTAGGAACTGTGGGTGAAAACCAAACCTACCCCGTCTCCTGATTTTTGGGGTTTGTACTCATGATGGACCAGAGAGGGTGGGGAGAGGGGTCCAGAAAATGAATCACAAAGTCTTTAGTTCCACAGAAATATATAAAAGAGGCTGGGTGTGGTGGCTCACACGTGTAACCCCAGCACTCAGGAGGGAAAGACAAAAGCTTCAATGTAACTTGAGATTCTGCTGCTTTTTGTAGCCTCTAGACATAATGAATACAAAATTATCAAGATATTTATCCCTTCTATACTTAGTCTTTGAAATCTGATGTGTATTTTACACTTACAGTGCCTCTGACTGCAGACTTGCCCCATTTGAAGTGCAGATGGCCACATGTGGCCAATGGCTGCCTTACTGGAAAGTATAGCCGCAGATCTATCAGTTCACAGGAAACAGCAGATGGCACAGGGACATGCTGATACCACAGAGGTGTAATCAATCAGCAAAATCCAGACCCTGGCAAATGCTACAGGACAACAGATACACTTTCTACTAAAGACCAAGACGAGAAGACCCCTGGGATGATGATAGAAAAGTCTTATGAGATATTCAGGGACATTCAGGAACTATCAACAGTTCCTCTAAAATATGATCTTGTTTTTTAATGATTTTTATGTTTTAGAGACAAATTCTGAAATATTTAGTAATAGATTGGTATGTTGAAGCTTGGCTTCAAAATAATCCGAAAGGGAAGCCACTGAGATGACCAAGTCAGTAAAGTGCTTGTTTAAGTATGAGCACCTAAGTTTAATACCCAATACTCAACGTAAAAAAAGTTGCACATGGAGATGTGTGTGTAAATCACAGTGCTGGGGAGGCAGAGCTGGGCAGATTCCCAGAGTTCGCAGGTCAGCTGGCCTAGTGGAATCTATGAGCTCCAGGTTCAGTGGCCCTGTCTGAAAAAATAAGGTGGAGAGGGACTGAGGAAGACACCTGATGTCAACTTCTGGCTTACACATGCGTAAGTTTCCTCACCCCCCCCCCCCACAGAAACAGATCTGGCAGGGTAAAGATGAGATAAGATTGGCCATGTGTAAGAGAGAGAATTTATACAACAGTAGAAAGAGAGGAAGAGAGAGGAAGAAAAGGAGGGAGAAAGAGGGGGCAGGAATCTGCGGCAGAGGCTGAAAGGCAGAGGATGTAACGAAGACTACAACTGAGGCCTGGGTATTTTTTGAGAATATAAAGAATGAAAAGAATATCCTAAATCCACGAGTAGAAAACTCAGATGCCCTACAAAGGAACAAGAATTTGATTGAAAGACTTCTTGTCAGCTATAAAAGATGCCACAGGGCAGGGCAACCTTAAAGTCACATGTAATTGACATCGCAATACCATGGGTCTGGAACGACGAAGAAAACACATTTCAGTTGGTGAGCATCTACTTCCATCTGGTTGTTTGGAGAGCAGAACCAGGAAGAAAAGACAATGTGTGGAGAGGTGTGGAAGAAAGATGGCCTGAAGTCCCAGCACTGGGAGGCAGAGGCAGGAGAATCATTTGAGTCCACAAGCTTGATGCATTAAAAAATTTTCTTTTGATTCATTTATTTTTATTTCATGCGTATGAGGGTTTTGGCTGCATGTATATAGTTGCACCCATATCGTGTCGTGCAATGCCCATAGAGGCCAGAAGAGGGCATTGGATCCTCTGGAACTGGAGTTACAGATGGTTATTAGTCAAAATATAGGTGCTGTGAACAGAACCCAAGTCCCCTGGAAGAGTAGCAAGTGCTCTTAACGGCTGAGCCATCTCTTCAGGCCCAGCCTGACCCATTGTTAAATGCTCCCTATCATGTTATTCACCTGAATCATTCCCGCCTTCGTCTCCTTAGATCAGACGTCAAGATCCATCATTACAGCTTTCTTTACCTTACCCGTCTCAGCCTTTATCAGACTTGTCTGGAAAACTCTGGCCCTGGTTAATGCTCCTTGTCCCTGGTCCATGCCTGAACCCAAAAAGCTGAGTCACAAGAGAACACGCTGTGCTGGGCGGGTCTCCTTTCAAAATCAGATTTAAGGAAAAGTAGAAATAATATATTAACAAGAACAGCAAAGCAAAACAGTTCAGAGAGCAGTTTACTAAGGGTTCTGGTTTCCTTTGAGGGGATACAGCAGTGTTCCAAAGACTCGAAACCCCTACCTTCCTGCTGCTGATGTTCTCTAGTGAAAATACAGAGGTAGTAGACGCACAGTCCATCAGCTCCTGCCCAGTGTTATGCAGAAGCAGCACAAGGGAAATGAGGAAGGGCACGGGGTACAGCACACATGGCTCAGAGAATTACAGGGAGTCAGAGAGCAAGCCCAGGCAGAACGGCAGCAGGTGCAAGGATCCTGAGGGAGAAACTCTGTCAGCAAGCTTGAGGCGCAGTAAGATCATGTTCTTCGAGCAGAGCCATGAGGGGGACCCTGGGAAGGAGTGATGCTAAAGAGGGTGCAGGGTGACATACTGTGTAGGACATGGTGGTGGTTACATGGGTCTCTCTTTTGCTTTGAATAGAACTGTATAGATTGCAGGCTTCTGTAGAGAGGGTGATGGGGTCTACTTTCTACATTAAGAAGATTCCTATAACACCTAGGTGAGAGACAATGGCTTGGACCAGGATGTGGGAAGTCATTGGATTCAGTAGAGTCAACAAGTTTTATTAATGGATAGGATGGAGGGTGCGAAAGAAGTCAAGGATGACTCTAAGGAAAAGACAGAGTGGGCCAGTCATGGAGACAGGAGTGAGTCAGCTGTGACAGGAGGAGCTGGCAGTAGGAAGCTAACCCAAGGCTGGGGATGGTAGGTGGGGATGGTTGTGTGATGACGCGTAGCAGGCAGTTGGGTAAGCCATGTATTGGCACATGATGCTGGGGGCTTGTTGCCTCTGCATGGCAGTGAAGGCATGAGGTAGGACGGGTGCACTGGGACACCAACTGTACCAGGACAGGAGGAGATCCAAAGAAAACCCAGAGCCTGAAAAGGTCAAAAATGATAGTGATAAGGAGATCAAGAAGGGCAGGCGCTAAGGTAGGCGGACCCATGCTGAGAACCGTGTCACAGAACATATGCCAAGAAAGATCAGATAAGATTGAGCGGCCAAGGCCAAGTCACCTTCACAAAGGGTCATGGCTAGGTCCCTGGTGCCATGTGAAGGGGCTTCTGGGAGGAGACGCCACAGTGTTCCCATGAGACAGTGGAATGAGGGTCCAAAGGCAGGGTGGGTACAAGGCCCTTAGAGCCTGGCTATAAATGGTGGTGTCTAGAAGTGGGCGTGTCAAGTGAACAGCATTGCAGTGTGTGTGTGCTGCCAGCTATGATCTGGCAGATTCCCTCATGGGTCACTATGCAGGGCAGAGTTGGGGGTCCCAGCTGGCACCAGATGTGAGTGAAGAAAGAGGCGTCCTCAGGCAGGGAGGCATGGAAGACGCAGTGCAGTGCAGATGCAGGTGTGGTCTGTGGGTGTGGGCTAGGTGGCACTGGAGGAGGCTGAGGGCTACAGCTACAACCGAAGCAAGAAGCAGCCAGAGTGTATATGCTGCTCAGAGGGGCCCAAGTAAGAGATATGGCCGAGTTCACCAGGACTCGGCTAGGACATGAAGGGAACATCAATGCATCACCAGGCGAAGAGACCTTAAGCACAAAGCAGGTTTCTGTAGGAGGCGGAGGTACTCACTCAGGGTGCCACGTCCGTTGCACGCAAGCGTCCTGCCTGTCCTACCAACTTCACACTTGTCTGCCCACTCCCAGAATCACATAAACTCACTCTTTGAATTTAATCTGACTCTCTCCACTGCCTGCCTGGGCTGTTTCTCAGAAGAACCCTGGTGACATATATGACAAGAAGAGACTGGGGGAAGGGTATCCGGAGCAAGGGGGCCATGGAAGCACAGGTGGTGAGGATACAGTGGAGACAGTGGCACCGGAAATGGCCAGTCGGTTGAGCTGAAGTACTTGAGGGTAGGATTGGAAAGATAGCAGGTGGTGCCCAGAGTGCAATGTGTGCCACTGACAGGGATGTACGTACTGGGGTGACAGGTCCAGGTGTAGGGAATGACAATGGGAGTAGAGGACAAGTGTTCATTGTGTGAGAAGAAGCAAGAGAAAAGAGAAGCAAGGCTAGCGAGCTCGTCTTCATAAACACTGAGTTCTACAACCCATGCCAGAAGTGCAGACCCACCAACATCAGCCAGGAGTAGAAATCATTATGGAGGAAAGCGGAGTCTCTTAGGAAGGGGCATGAGTGCCTGTGGAATGCAGCCATAAACTGACACGACACTTTTGTTGGGCAACTTGGCAACATCTAAAAAAGCTCAAAATACAAAGACCCCATACAACATGGCTAGAACTTAACATTATATTCAGGGAAAGCAGCTGGACATCAAAGGCACCTGTTCTATGATTCCCTGCTCATGACATGTGCAGGACAGTGAGATAGTGACTAAAAACAGAGGAACTGTGTTGAGGGACTTGGGGGTGAGAGAATGGGACATGAACAGTTACAGGAGTTCCTTTTGGGATGAAGAAAATGTTCCAGAAGTAGACAGTGGGGAATGATAGGAGAGCTCTGAAGAAATGTTAAAATCTACTTCAGTATACATTTCAAAAATGTGAATTTTATGGGGTGTGATATATATCTCAGTTAAAAGGAACGAATACCCTATGTCCTACCATCCACATGCTTTAGAGTAGCAGTCTGCATGCTACGACCCATGACATGTTTGGTGAAATGTTTTGGTAAAGTTCTCTTGGCATACAGCCTAGACTGCTCACTGACATGTGCATTGTGGCTGCCTTCACACTCCTTTGACAGAATCGAGCCGCGGTGACACAGACAACAGTTGTTCACTCTGAGTAGTGACAACACAATATGTAAAATTATTTCCTATAACTTTCACATTTTTCAAAATAAAAGTAATTTTCTTTAAACTATGGTTTGCTTGGCATCTGAGCTTGTAATTTCCCTTTTGGGGCCTGTGGGAGATCAGCAAGGCTATAGGGTGCCTTACCTGTTGGCTGCAGAGATCGCCTATGAAGAACTGTACCTGAGGGTTGTCAAACCCTTGGCGCATATCAAATACATTGACAGCATAGCCTCGTGCCAGTAACTGCTCCACCATGTGCTGCCCCAGGAACCCAGAGCCTCCAATCACCGTGCACTTCTTAGCCTGCAGAAACAGGGATGGCAGGAGGACCAGAAAATAAAAAAGGTCAGGCTTACATGCTGTGAACCATTGCAATGGCATGCCACCAGTTCTTGAAACTGCTGAGCTCAGCGGAAATCTTGATATAATTGTGGTGTCTGAGCACCAGTGTCATCTCCTCTCCTGGGTTCAGCAAGGAGGGAAGAGAGAGAAGTGACAAAACCAGACTGGTAGACTGATGACATAATCCATTCTTTGTATTTAGTAGGAGGGAACTAAAATGCCTATTTTAGTAGAAGGGAACTAAATTGCCTATTTAAAAAGCCAAACACCAAAGATGATACCCTCTTGCTCCTGATATGTGATCTTGGGCACTTCTCTATGGCCAGAAACACACACACACACACACACACACACACACACACACACACACACACACACACACACACACACACACACACACACACACACACACACACACACACACACACACACACACAATCATTTGAGCATTTTCAATTAAAACATCAGAAAGGAGCTGTTTCCAAACTCTCAGGACAAAGCATTCAAAAGTGGAAACCTAGCCAGGTGCAGTGACGCACACTTTTAATCCCAGCAGTTGAGAGGCAGAGGCAGGTGAATCTCTGTGAGATGGAGACTAGCCTAGTCTACATAGCCGGTTCTAGGCCAGCTGGGGCTACATAGTGAGACTCTGTCTCAAAAAAACCAAACAAACAAAAAGTTGAAACTTGGTGATAATAGCAGTTTGTTATGATGGTTTTTTCTAGCTGTTCTGTAGCAATAAAATCTTTAAAAATATTTATTATTTTTATTTTATGTGTATGAGTGTTTTGCATGCGTGTATGCAAATGCACCTGTGTCATGCAGTGCCTGCAGATATCAGAAGAGGGCATCAGATCCTCTGGAACTGGAGTTAGGATGGTTGTTAGACATCATGTGGGTGCTAGGATTCAAATGTGGGTCCTCTGCAAGAGCAACCAGTGCTCTTCACCACTGAGTCATCCCTACAGCTCCAAAATCTTCATTTACACAAAAAGTATTGATAGCTGGTAAGTGGCTTCAACCAAAGAGACCCTCAAGAAGCTTTACTCTGAGCTCTCCACCAAAACGAGGGTGACCTGGTGGCTCTGGAATCCTTTTGGGGGTCTCTAACTTACTAATATTTGATACAGACACAATTGTGATGTGGAATGTTTATTTTTATTTTTATTGGTCTTTTTGAGACAGGGTCTCCCTGTAGTGAAGTAGAATGTTTATGAAGAGTGAACTGCACAGCAGACTTGCAGACCTATATGAAGACGCTCCAGACTCCACAATTCCTTGGGTCTCTTCTGAGACTTGTGACAGTAGATCTTAAGGGGCTGACAACTGCTACTGCTACCATCTGGGAAGGCTTTTAAGTCATTTCACCAGGAAGCCCAGGCTAGCACACTGGAGGCCACACGAGGGAAAACTGACATGCCTAGCCAACATTTACTGCCACTAAATGCATGAGCGAGTGCACCTGACATATGCATATCAGGGGTACCCAGCCTATAATCTCGCAGCTGGGCCCAGAGTCATATGCAAAGAACCCCTGCTTTCTGATATTCTTTGTTACACAGAAATAAGTAATTGATGTACCTTTAAAATTTTTTTGATCTATTTATTTTTATTTTATGTGCATGAGTGTTTTGCCGGTTTTTATGTAAGTGCACCACATGTGATCAATGCCTGCAGATGCCAGAAAAGGGCACGGGATCCCCTGGAACTGGAGTTACAGATGGTTGTTAGCCACCATGTTGGTGCTAGGAACCAAACCCAGATCCTCTCTAAGAGTAGCAAATATTCTTAACCACTAAGCTATCATACTAGTCTATAACTAATATATCTTAAGCCAAGGTATAAATCATATAAAAACATAACCAGTATTTATTGAACAAATGGATTAAATACATCTTAAAATGTACAGGTAAATATCAATGGCTTGACTTGCCGCTACCTTTTAATGTTAGTACTCACTTTGGGAATGTCTTCTGTCCAACATGTCCCTTTGACCTGGTCTTCCTTTGGCTTACCAACTGTTTGTTCCATTATGGCTCAAACTACTTGTTTGCAATTAACTCTTCTTCCTAAAGACATAATTAGAGAAAGACACTGATGTTACATGAAGCAAAGCATCTTTAGCTGTTAGGGTTGAGTGTCCGTCTATATACAGCTGCCCAGCTGCTGGCTGAAGTGCCGTCAGCACCCTCTGCTGGAGGGTGCTCTCCTAGCGCATGCTGGGTCCTTTAACTTAGAATATACTTGTATTAGAGGCAGGACAGGAAGCCAGTTAATAGCTCCCTTCATCAGTTACAACAGGAACATGATTTGGATTATAGCTTTTTCCATGGCACGCATGTGCCTTAATTATTTTTCCTTTCTCTTGAGGTGCTCATTACATAGAGCACAGGTCTTAGCCTAGGGTCTGGACCTGGCCCTTCCACGAACAACATACATGTGCTCCATGCATTTCTTTCTACTGCAGTTTAGTTTGCCTATCAGTGAAACTGACTCAAGTGCTGATCCCTATGCTGTCAGAGGAGGATACTCTGGTAGGTGGCAGGAAGTGACAGTACTCTCGACTGTTAAGTCCATCCTGACTGTGCAGAAGAGCTTTGGAGCCATCAGAAACCTTTGGGTAGTAGTCAGAGAATGGTGGGGACCAAGCAGTTCATGTGGCCAAACAGAAGAGAACAGCCCAGGTGAGACCTCAGCATGTCCTCTCGTTGCCATTTACCCACAGTACCAGTTGCAAGTGCAAAGAAGGAATTTACTGATGAGGTACTTGGAGATAGAAAAAAGATTCAGAGAACAGCAGTGAGTGAAGGCATGTCAGACAGCCAGCACTGCCTGGGTTTTGTGCTGACTCTAATCCAATCCCACACCTGGACTTTTGCACAACCTGCCACTTTCAAACAATGGGTGCCATCGTGTGTCCCTGTAGCAACTGATTTTATGAGTGTATTCATTTTGTGGGCCTTGAAATAGATATCCTGACCCTGAGTGTTTGACGGAGCCACTTATGGGGAGTTTTTCTGAACTCATGGTGGAAGTTATCAGTTGTGATTAATAATCTTGTCAAAGAGGATTTAGAATCACCCAGGAGGTGAACCTCTATTCATGTCTGTGGGGGTGTTTCTCTGAGGTGGGAAGGCCCACCCTGCATGTGGGGCCTGGGCTGAATGAGGATAAGGCAAGCAGAGCAGCAGCGTTCACCTCTGTGAACACAATGCAACCTGCCACCCCACACTCCTGTAGCCGTAACTGCCCCGCCATGACAGACTGTACTCTCAACCAAAGTAAACCTTGCCTTCCTTAGATTACTTCTTGCCAAGTACTTCCTCACAGTAACTAAATACTACCCAAAGCATCGGTTAAGTATATTTCAAAGCTTGATTTTCCCTGGGTCTTTGCACATATACCTAATGGACACGGAAAGTTAACCCACAGCTGTGGTTGTTCCATCTCTCTTTCTCACCCATTCCCCTGCATACTGGCAGGGGCCCTGACATCTGTTCACCTCAAATACATGTGGCTGAGATTTGACTCATATGGCTCCATGTACAGGAAGACCCAAGTTGCTGGAGAACTGGATTAGGGTATTTGTTTATTTTTATTATATATATATTGAGATGGGGGTCTGACTATGTAGCCCTGGCAGGCCTGGAACTCTCAGAGATCTGCTTCTCTCTGCCTCCGGAGTGCTAGGATTAAAGTCATGTGCCACCATGCCTGGCAGGATTAGAGCACCTTGCACCAAAGCCTGACAGGCATAGTCTGAGTTGGCTTGCTTGCTTCTGAATCACAGGCACACAAGACTGTGTCCAGCATGGAGCAGGCATTCACCTGCCTGCTGGATTCAGGGCTACACCAAGTGTTTACCCATGCAGACCCCTGCTGCTCTAGTCACATACCCAGAGACTGCCCTCTAGAGGCTCCACTAAGCAGATGGCTTTGTTCTTAGGCTGGTGTGCTGAAATCACAAATGCCTACTCACTGAGGTTCTTCAGATCCTCAGGGAAACACAGGCAAATGAGAAGGCAGACAGCATCCATGGAGGCAAGGAGATGCTCACATCTAGCTTGTAATCCTGCAAAGGCCACACCTGACCTTTCCTAGTGGGGGTTTGCATAGTATATGTGCAGCCATAATGGTCTGCCCACTAGCCTGTGGGGTCCCATCACAGGGCAGGGCTATCCAGGCTTACGAAGCTAGACCATCTCTTGTAGGGTTCTGCTTCCGAAAGCCTTTGCTCATCTCCATTGTCTGTGAAAAGCATACAGTACTCTCTTCAAAGCTGGCTAAATCAATGAATCCAGAGCCTGTGCCTGGGTTCAAATCCCAGGTCTACTTCTGCCAGCAGGGGTCCCTCTTGGGAGCTTTTTAAAGGAACTGCACCTGCTTCTTCATCTATAAACCAAACAGTCTTACAAGAGTGTGATGAGGATTAAAGAAAATCAAGTAGAAAATGCACACAAAGCCCTCAGCACATGTGGAGTACCTGTTAATACCCCATTAAAAGCAGTTATTATTATGTAAATATCACTTCCACAGCAGCAGGCTACCTCCCCTCCCCTCCTTGGTGGTCCTCTTCTGAACTCCTCCAGCACTTTCTACCTCTCCAGCTTACCTGAAGCCATGCTGTGCTCCCTGAGTACAGACTGCTTAACACGCACAAGGCCCTGGCTTTGATCCCCAGCACAAAAAGAAGAAAAACAAGGGAAAAGACAGACTGAAACATTCCCCCTCCCCTTCCTTCAAAAATTCACCTCAAAATTTCTACTCACTTCCTAATTAAGGTGACTAATCACCTTGCTACCTAAAGCTTTTAGAAGAGGTAGGAAGAAAAATGGGGTAAAAGTCAGTTAGCTTAGGGAGCCCAAGGATGACAAAAATCCAATCTGTGGTCTTCCCCTCCAATGTTGAGGAGATTAAGTGACCTTTTCACTGAAGATCTTTGAGATAGTCACAGGGAGGGAATGCTTCCCACAACACCTGGCAACGGAGCACTCCAAAAAAAAAAAAGCAAGATGAGGTCTTGGGTACAAACTGAATAGGGTATTTAGTTGACCTCACTAGGAAAGTGAGCAGGACTGAAGACCTAGGAGGGAAGAGCTAGCCCAGGCATTCAGAAGGGACAGGTGCAAAAGTTCAATGCAGGGTGTGGGGGGCAGGGATCTGGGAGGAGTTAGAGGGAGAAGTGTGAGGGTAGTGAATATGATCAAAATAGATTGCATGCATGTGTGAAATTCTGCAAGAATGAATACAAATATTTAAAAAATTTCAGCACAGCAATGTGCCTGGAAGTTGAGGCTGGGCAACAAAACCAGTGTTCTGAAGGGGTGGGTCTGAGACCTGGTGAAGAGGAAGGCAGCAGTTAGGGGAATGATAGGAGATGTGTATCATGCCAGGCATTGCAGGTGAGAACTCCAGTTCATGCTGTTGAGGGCCTACGGAGCAGTACAGGTATCAAAGGGGAAAATAAAGGAACTTCAGGGTGCAGAACTGAGATGTCAGAGGGCTGAGGAGAGGAGGACACTGGGAAAGGAGTCAAACAGGACACAAAGGTTTTGGACCTCGTTCACTGCTCAAAGAGCAGGAGAGTAAAGGGGCGATGTTTCAATTATGGGGTGCTGGTCTGCCTCACGCTTCTCTCGGCCTGACAACTGATGCTATGTCCTTAATGCCCCTTAATTTCTGCTCTAATGTTCAGAACGAAAGCAGGTGAAAGTGAAGGTCGAGGTACTGCTTTGGCTGAGGGCCAGCTCTGGACCTCCAGTTCCCTAGCACATACTCCCCTTTAATTTTACAAGCACTCCTCACTTCCAGAAATCGTGCGACTTTGCCTACAACCGGGTCTTGGCCATTAGTGCTCCTTCCAATGGGACTCCAGTGCATGTCTAACGAGGTGCATTTTGATGAACCCTCTAGCCCCAAGGTCTAGGTAAACTGATAAGTCAGTCTTTTCTTGTAGAGGCAACTTCATAGACAAAGCCTCGGGAGGATTTGGTTTCTAGTCCCGATCCTCTGAGCCTTTGCAATGGTGTTCGGCAGGCACACTCCACCTTTTCAGATCTCAGCTGCCCCGTGCACAAGTCAGCACTTTGGAACCCAAGGATATGTCTTTCCTGGCCCCTCGGATGGTATGTCCCCAACTGCGTCCCCTCGCGCTCCCTCAGGGTCCTGGCGCCCAATTCTTACCCAGTGTAAACGAGCTCGCCGCCGGCCTCAGCTTGCCTGCAGCCAGCACCAGTGAACTTTAACTCCAGATCTCCACCCTTTTCTCCTACCGGAGGTGTCAGCCCACCATGAGCCGAGCTTCCTCCACGCAGGTGATTGGCCCACCTCAGCGCCGGCTCAGCCAATCGAAGCTCGCCGCTCGATCTTGCCGAATGAGGCCATGCCTCGACCGCCCCTGTGCCCTGGGCGGGGCTCGGCTGGGTTACCTCCACCCACTTTATCTCTGCGCCAATGGGAAGCGGGCCGCGAGCGCGCGCGGAGCCTTGGGAAGGGCGCGGAGGCCGTGAGTACGCCGTTGCCTTAACAACGGGCTGCAGAGTCCCTCGGCTATGGTAAGTGTTGGACGTTCCGTGGAACCTCGCGCCGCGACGCTGAGCCCTTCCTAGGCCTTGCTCCGACCCTGTACCCTGTTCTGTACCATTCTCGGCTGTGACGCATCAGTCTTTCCTTTGATCTCTCTCCCGGAAGGGTAGGATGCCACCAGCCGCATGCCTGGCCTGCGCTAAACCGCTACTTCCCTTACCCTCGGCCGGTTCCCACCCGCCTTTTGAGCTCCCCTGGCTTTCCCGGAACCGCTCTGAGAGCATCCCCATGCAAAGAAGCTTTAAGATCTGCGGAGAACCAGGCCTGATGTCCGTTTCGCGCTTCTAAAGTTTTTGCAGTGCTAAGAGGTTTATTATGGTCTGATAGTTAGCATGTATTTTGCCATTTAAATATTGTGGTATTCCGGAGATGCTTTGAGCTTCTCTAAGAAGGCACGAAGGAGCCAAATGGATTGGGTCTTATTACTTAATACTGG